GAATCTTATTAAAATAAGTTGACATGCATAGCACCCTAAAACACACACATTCTTTTCCATACATGTAGGCTGTTACCAAAATTGTCTAAAACCTGGGTCATAAAACAAGCCTCAAATTTTAAAAAAATTAATTGAAATGACTCAGTATGTTCTTCGAGCACAGCAGAATTAAGGCAGAAATTAAAATCCAATAGGAAGGGGCTGGGGATTTAGCTCAGCGGCAAAGCGCCTGCCTGGCAAGCGCAAGCTCGTGAGTTCGGTTCCTGGTACCAGAGAAAAACCAAGAAAAAATAAAATAAAATAAAATAAAATCCAATAGGAGATCCCCAAATATTTCAAAGGTATAATAAAATCCACGAGTCAAAGAAGAAATCATGACAGAAAATTCTAAGTATTTTGAACTAGGTAAAAATTAAGAACTAACAGATCAAACCATAACAAACAAGGAATTTTAGTGCATCTTAAATGTTTATATTAGAAGTTTAAACACACCTAGAAGAGATTCCAAATCAGTAAGGCTTCTTAAGAAGCTAGACAAAGTAAAACAAATCAAATTCAAGAGGTATACATACAAAATACAAGTAGAAATAAATTACATGCCAGATATATATTCTGTATTATTTAACATTAGTAAATCTGAAAGTTACTTCTTTGTAATAATTGATAAAATTAGAAAATCCTAGGTGAGTCAAGAAAAAAGACAAAACACCAGTTGCCAATATTAGGAATGAAAAAGGAACATTACCACCAATTCTACCAGCATTTAAATGTATATACATATATGAATATGAATAATTTTATGCTAATAAATTTGACAATATGAAATATCCTTTAAAACTCCAGTATTACAAATGTGCAGCAAGAAAAATATAAAATCTGATTAGTCATATCCAAAAATTTTTAAATGTTTTAAAACACCTTCCCTCTTTACAGTAATGAATTATTCCAAATACTTATATAAATATTAACACCAATATATACAAACTCAAAATAGAAAATTAGAATATGTTTGCCAAATCATTTGGATGCTAGCATAATCTGAAAAAGATGTCCAAATCTGAGTTAGGCCTGATAAGAAAGGAAAATTAAAAATCAAATTCATTTATAAACATAAATAAAAATTTCTTTTTAAAAATATGCAAATATAATTTGGAAATGTATATACAGGAGAAATGTGAGAGGTGGAGCTTAATTTAGCAGCTCACTGCAGTGCAATTGAAATTTGATCAGTGTAATTCACCATATCAGCAGATATAGGAGAAAAATAACATGATTACCCCTACCGGGACGGAAGTCATTTGATAAAATTCAGCACATATTAATGGTATAACTACATACAAATGAAAATAGAAAGAACTTTTCAGTGTCTTTAAAAACTGTTAGTAAACATTATTAATGCTAAATTATTGAAAACGTTCCCCTGAAGAACAAGTAGAGATCTCTGCTGGAGACACCCATTCTTTTTACTTCCAGTCAATACTTTCTATTGATCCTAACAGTCAATATTTTCTCAGTGAGAGAAAAGTAAAGAAGAAATAAAAGGCACAGTGATTGGAAGGGAAGAAATGAACTTCTTGCCTGGTAAGTGCAAGGTCCTGAGTTCAATTCCTCGTACTAAAAAATAAATAAATAAATTAAACTTACTTCAGACATTGTAACTGAAAACAAAGAAATAAACTTCGTTTTTAAAAATATAACATATCATTAATAGTTACAAATTTCACAAATTCTATATGAAAATTGATCACCTGAATATAGAATTTACATAGAAATGCAAAGGGACAATAATAGTCAAAGCAATCTTGAAGAAAAAAGAATAAATCTAGAGATATCACACCAAGAGCATGACCCATGAAAGAAAGAACTGATAAAAAGAACTTCATTTAAAAGTTTCTGCTCTAGGGCTAGGGATATAGCTCAGTGGCACAAACTGAGTTTGATTCCCGATACTAAAAAAACAAAGCAAAACATAAAAGTTTCTGCTGTATAAAAGATTCTACCAAGAGAATGAAAAGACAAGCCACAGTCTAGGAAAATATTTGCAAAAGACATATTTGATAAAGCACTCTTATCCAAAATACTGCATAGAGACACTATACTGTATGTAATTGCTTCTCAGCCTTTTGGGTAAGATCAAGTGTAATACTGTATGCAAAGGCTAAAAAATTTTCAATAATAAAAAACAATCCCATGTAAAAATAAACCAAAGACCTTAACAAACACCTAAAGAATAAGTAGTGATTGAAAATAAACATATCCAAAGATGCTCCATATATAATGATGGAAATGCAAATTAAACTAAACTAAGAAAGCACTACACAACTATTAGAATAGCTAACCTGCAGAACACTAACACCAAAAGCTGAGGAGAATGCGGTGCAACAGGAACTCTCTTTCACTGCTCATGGGAATGAAAAATGGTACGGTCACTTTGAAAGTTATGCATTTCATACAAAACTACACACTCTCACTACATGATTGCGAGTCAGGCTCCTTAGTATTTAGTAAAAGAAGGTGAAAACTGATTTCCATACAAAACGTTCACAGAGAGGTTATAGCAGCTTTATTCATAACCATTAAAACTTGGAAATAACCACAATGACCTTCAGGGGGCAAATGGATAAATAAATTACTATATAGACAGCGAGATAGTGTTATTCATGCCAAGAAGAAATGAACTATCAAAGCATGAAAAGTCATTGAGCAAATGTAAATACATATTATTATGTGAAAGAGGTCAAAATGTGAAAAGACATCACACTATATGATTTTAGAATAAGGTAGTGGTTTCTAGAGATTTTGGAATGGGGAAGAGGTACAAATACAGCATAGGAAATTTTTAGTGTAGTGAAACTATTCTTATAGTACTTTAAAGGCAGATAAACTGATAGAATGTACGGTACCCAGAGTGAACCCTAATTTAAACTATGGACTTAGTAATAAAGGTGTGTTAATATGTATTTATCAATTATGAGAAATGGTGGGGGAGGCTGGTAATAAGGGTTGTACATGTGTGTACATGGGAAATTTCTGTATATTGTGATCATTTTTCTATGAATCTAAACTATTCTGTAAAATAATTATTTTTTAAATGGAGGAATTATCTCTCAGGAAATAAAATGCATGATAAAATAAACCCATCAAAACTATAGTAATTGAGAAAACGTGGTATTGCAGGGTAAACAAAGATAAAAATGTAATACTTGAGCAGACCTGTCACTATGATGACACTTCAAAAATAAGAAGGTATCATCTTCTCAACAGATAGTATATGAGCATTTGGGGACATTTTTACTCTAATCAGATAAATTTGAAAAAATTAATTTTAAATTGACAAAGACTTTACATGTGAAAAGAAAAATATTTCATATAGGAATATTTTTGATATTGATGTATGCAAAAATTGATAATCAAAATGGGAAAATATTGACAATCACAAGAAAATAAAGTTAAGTATCATTCAACAAATACACCATTTAGGGTGAAAATACAAAACACAGAATGGGAAGGGGGATATATATATATAGAGAGAGAGAGAGGGGGGGGACTTGAATAAGTATTTCACAACTATTCATAAGTCAATAATTATATTGTGAATGATTTCATTAATCCCCAAGGAAACAGTAATGAAATTACAACATGATATCACCACACACTCACTTGAGTGGTTAAAATTGAAATGACAACATTAAATGTTGACAAGGATATGGAGTAACTGGAACTCTCCTACTTTATTAGTACAACTACTTTTGAAAAATCTTTCACGACATTCGCTAAAGACAAAAATATGTGCACATATTAATGCACAGCAGTCCAACTTCTGTTCAAATAAATTCATCAAGAGACATATGCGAAGTTTCATGTAGTACTACTAATCAAAAAAGCTCAAAACTGGGAAAAAACACTAATGCTGAAGAATGTATAAATGAATTATAAACACATTCAAGTGTTTATATTATATAAAGTGTTTATAATTACAAATACTACACTAAATAATACAGTGAAAAATGTATAAATGAATTATAATATACTAATACAAAGCACTGAGACTAAAACAAATTAGAACTCTCACAGATCAATTTTACAAACATAACTTGGAAGGAAAGAAGACAGACACAAGACAAGGCTATGCTATATAATTCCATTAATATAGATTCAAAGAAAGCCAATGAGAAAAAATTATAACATCAGAATACAGGGTATCTTTGAGGGATATATAGCAATCAAATAAAGAGAGGGATCTTGAGTTTTGGGACAATTTTTCTTTAATCTAGATTCTGTGTTTAGGAGTGTATTAGTTTTGTGAAAAATCAAATACATATACAATTATTTTTAGTGCCTTTTTCTGGTTGACTATATTTTCAAATTGCAATATAGTTCTCTAAAATTTTTTAAATGTGTGTATATTCATTATCAGTTATTGCTTGAACAGAGTCATATTATCAGGCCACAAATAAAGTATATTCATGTATGTAAAAGGTATGGAGACTAACATACCATTTTAGTTATTTTTAAAGTATGTTTAACTAAAAAATAACTCCAGAAAAGTTTGTTTAGAACTTGCAATCACTAGAATTTGGAGAAAAATCAAGGATACTTCTCTAACTTAACAAGCTATTGATAACACTGTTAGAATTTGGAATGAAATGGCATGGTCAATGCTATGCAATCGTTAATATGGACACCTGGTGGCGCTGCAGGATAAGAATGACTGCTGATCCTTGGGACGCCAGTATTCTGGGAAGCAGAACTCTGCTTTGTAAAAGAAGGAAGCATTTTAGATAGCGTCTAGGGCAGATATCGTCAGAGAAGCCATCGTTCTACATGCAGGGCAGTTGGCCAGACTGGATTCACTATCACTTAACAAACCATCTGGGTGGACTGTACACAGAGGTGAAGAAACGGAAGCTTCGGGACAGGATCTGAACAATGGAGACTGCGCTAGCAACAACGCTGCACAAAAGGCAAGTCATTTTTCTTCTTATGCTGTGGATTTTGAGGGAGGCTGGCTCTGAGGCAATTAGGTATTCAATGCCAGAGGAAACAGAAAGTGGCTACCTGGTGGCCAACCTGGCAGAAGATCTGGGGCTGAGGGTGGGGGAACTGGCCACTCGAGGCGCGAGAATCCATTACAAAGGCAACAAACAGCTCTTACACCTGGATGTAAAGACTGGCAATTTGCTGCTGTGGGAAAAGCTAGACCGGGAGGGGCTGTGCGGGGTGACAGAACCCTGTGTGGTGCATTTCCAACTGGTACTGGAAAACCCGGTGCAGTTTTTTCAAGGCGAGCTGCAACTCACAGATGTAAATGACCATGCTCCGGAGTTCACAGAGAGGGAAATGCTCCTTAAAATTCCAGAGAGCGCCCAGCCTGGGACTGTTTTTCCTTTGAAAATAGCCCAGGACCTTGACATAGGGAGCAAC